AATAACTAGATCGTGCTGTAACTTTTTTGCTCCGGTTGAAACGGGTTCACTTGGAAGTCTGTTATTCTTCCTAAGTTATGAGTCGTCCGAAAAGGAACTAGGGGTTAGATATGAGCATGATCTAAGCTACAATAAATCCCCTATAAGCAAGCCACTTACAGAGACAGTAGCAGGAGATGGCACTCATAAGCTCTGTAGAATAGGACAAAAAAGGATTTCAGAAGCACACAGGCAAGCCTCATAGAAGTTACTTTAGTTTCTGCTGGAGAGAAAAATCTGATAATGGAAGCTTCAAGCAAACAGACTGGATCTGGAATATATGTCTGCAGGGATCTCATCATGGTTGGTCGTATTAAGTGAAGAGTGGTGGAAATAGAAATAAATCAAAGCTACCGAAACAGTGAAAAATCTTAAACCTAAGGGTTTCCAGATTGCGAAATTTTGGAGTAAAGCAATCTTCAAACCACTATTGGTGACGCGAAAAGTTGTTCACAAAATTAAGGGTATGCTGTACAAACTCTCGCGGACTCGTAAATAAAATAGCACACCTTAATAATGTGATGGAGACAGAAACCTCTGATTTCATTGCTAACATAATTAATGTCAGAAGTGTATGACAGTGGAATTTGATCGACTGGTTTCCTACTTTTTAGAGCTGCCTGACCGTTACTGCTACCTTGACATGGTGGTCGGGCTTGTCTATCATAATGAACAAATCGAGTTATTCTGGTCGGAACAATCATTCCTCAAGGTTGGTTGAAGAGTAGTAAGATCAAAAGCAGCAAACTCAAAGCTCGAAGGCGAGGTTGTACTGCTGACTGTATAGAGGTGTGACGGCAGTAAGTTTTTTCCTTCAGACAACCAACATAACAGCAATGCTGTCTTCCCACAAAGAAATAGTGGGGTTAGGAAAATTCGACCCAAAAAATGCTCTCACCTTATCCTACAGATATCTGTCCCCGGCAGTAAAGTCCTATAAGTACGGAGCCAACACAAAAATTACTCACAAGACGGTCATGTATGACCAACCTTATGCATTTGTCCCTTTGGCATTGCAATCACGCTCTCAGATCACTAAAACCAACTATAAACCAACCCAGCTTTCAGGTACCTCGGGAAGGACTCTCCCACGACATGGGCGACCGAGGAAGTGATAGCTACCCTTACACTTATAACAGCACTCAAGATTACAGTATTCATAATCAATCTCCCTCTTGAAGAGCTGACAGATTAAAGCTTAAGTGTGGTTGGGTTGTCCTGTACATGAAAAGTACTTTAACTATACGTGTCGTCGAGATTGTGTCGCACGATTTAGGGGCATGTAAACTGGTGCATCACCGGCTGATTTAGTTTTGGTATGTCGCAGTCCAGAATGTGTAGTGTATGGCTTTCTCCTAAACAAACTTAAAGATTGGTGACACACGTGTAAGAGCCTTCAATGACTTCAATACACTCTCTATGAATTGAGGAAACTCAGAAGCATGATTACCAGGGACAACGTTTTATTACCAAAAACTATAACAACTTGGGTCGATTGGACGGGTTGAACGCAAATATCTAGATAAATGTCAGAACTTTATGGCTCAAGTATTTATTCACTTCCCTATTTTGTTCTGACACTATATTCCCTATTGTTTTATATTAAATGATGAAAAGCTTCGTGTTTGAAAAGATAAACTCGCGCTCCACTGGGTACTGTCCCACAATCTAGATGATGACCTGTTCACTACTAGTCTAGTTTTTTCTATCAATAGAACGAAGAGTATCCGCGACACGAGAAAATCACAATCGCCCTGGCTTTATTCCGGCACATTAGAGATCCCATCAGATATGACCTACAAAACGTCTCGTCGTTATTGAACATAGTCTTCGCACAGTGACGATGTTAGTCGAATAAATTTCCTCCCACATTAATGAAGAAGTGATCATGCTATCATCTTATTCATGTTCATGACTAAGACGGCCTTTCAAGCAGTTGCATGGCCCATCCACGGCTAAAAACTGGGAACTTAACTCAGGTGCATCAGTAGAAAAGCGATGGGCTGATTTATGGCAGTTACACAATCATGTGACTCTACAACTTATACCTTTTACATACCCTTAAAAGAAGGCCCACTTCCATTTCCTGGATAAACCGGGATGTTGGACGCCTAACAAGACAAAAGAAAAAATATCTGAAATTCGCCGTCAGCCTTGGCACGAGAAATGCTATGAAACGTTATAAGTCGACACGAACTAGGTGTATAAGAACAATCCCGGCAGCTCAGGGAAAATTTGAAAGCAGTCGGTACAATCTGTAATCAGACAGCTGAAGAAATTGTTCTGGTACACAAATTACGGAACAAGAACTCATCATTGGATTACCAACCTAGTTACGGAAGGGAGTGGATCTCAAACGAGAGAGGAAGGCCAGGACAAAGAAGAGGCCATGGTGAACTAATTCGAAATAGTTTCCTTTTAGACGAAGAACTAGACCAAGATATAGTCACAAAATCCGTTGCTCATTGTGGACTTTGATCGAGACGACCTGCTAAACGTCCGTATCACATCAGAATTAGACACAGAAAAATCGACAGGACGGGATGAACTACAACCTAAAATCTTGAGACTAATTACACAATATATTGCTGTCCGATTGACAACTTCAATACGTCACGTGATCAAGGTGTGTTACATACTGACTGGAAGTATGCGATCGTCACCCCAATACATAAAACAAAACCAAGACAACTTTCATCAAACCGCAGACCTGCCAGCCTCACTACTGTTGCGGTTAAAATACCTGAAGAACAATAAAAAACATCATAATGGCATTTGTTGAAACCAACAAATTGTTAAACAACGCACAAAATGGTTTCAGAAAAGTTTTATCCTGCGTAACGAGTCCCCTTATAGCGAGAGAAAAATGGACAGAGGCTCTGGATAATGGAAAATCAATGAATGTTGTCTACATAGACCTCAGTAAAGCATTTGATAGGGTGTCAACAAACAGACTACCCTTGAAGCTGGAAGATCTAGGCATTGCCAGACCTCTCTCAAAATGGTTCAAGGACCCCATTTGTCACAGCTGTCTAATTTTTAAGTGTTATTATATTCGAAGCTTCATGTTACAGATGGAAGTAAGGTGGCCTGCTGACTTAAAACTAATTCATTCCTGAAGATTCCGGAGGAAAATATAGACTATATGAAAGTCTTCGATCGTTGTGTTTATAGACCTTAACTTACAGTGACGCTCTTAACTTTGCAAACCGCCTGTAGCTTCTCCATGGTTGCTGTCGGACCCAAGCCCGGATAAAAAGGCGATTTAGCATGGACTCAGCAACCACATACTGTGGAAAACAAACTTGTTAATAAACGCTAATCATAAAAGCAGTTAAAACCATTCAGGAACTGAAAGTGAATAATATTTGAAGCATATATGTTAAATGAATATAGTTGTCTACTCATTTCTGGGTATGATAACTGGAAGAGCACATAACTACCAAGCGCACCAAGCTAACTCCACTGGCTAGCTTGTACCCAATAGGCTGATTAATTAGAATGCCTTATGTAAGAATCTTTCCAACATGACTTTGTTTGGTTGCATGTCTATCCCAGAGACAGAGCGCACTATGTTTATCTACCTATCTGTTAATCATATTCAACTATTATAATTACCTACACATAATGGTATACACTGACTAACTGACACACTGAACAGTTCAAATTCATTTCAAAAGAATGAAGATTAGACCAGTCCGATGCGGCCTTGGATATATTTTACTTCCAAATAATTACTTGATACAATGTTTTAAGTGTTATTTCCATTTTAACACAATTTTAGCTTCCAAGCCAATGTAGTTTCGAGTCAGAGTAACTGTGGAGGTTGGCTCTGACACCCACACACTTGCTCAGTAAAAGTTCACAAGAAAGTGGTTGGGTGATTGAAGATTATTAATTCCAACACAGACTATTATATAAACAAGTATTATAATACATTTCTTCAACCAATTATTGTTCAGCGAAATTAAATAATGAAATATAATAGTAATTTATTCTGAAATAACTATAGGTTTCAGGTAAGGTCGAAATATTACAAATGACACAGTATTTGTTACAGTAAGTTATTCCATTAGGTTGACAAATAATAAGACACTGGTTTTGGAAAGAGGATGGTAAATTTGAGTACATAGGAATATAACTAATGTTATGAATAATAATAATACACAGCAGGTAAGTGCCATCATCAAAGGCATAATGAACGATTTGCAACACTGGTTTACAGATAAGATATCACCTAAGTACGGTTATTAAATGTATGAAGTCAATGAGGATTTGTATTTTCGGGCTCCTTATGAATGAACATGGAGCAACCAATTGTTGAGATCAATAAAGGTGCTACAGGTATTCAAAGTTTTACAACGCCTTTATACTCAACACTTTTACAATCAGTTTATACCAACTCAGTCAAATTAAAGTCAGAAATGAATTCGTTCGAAGATATATTTGATAGGCTATCAATAAATTGGGGATCGACTGATCTAATCTGGCTAGCGACTGCAGAGGATGTTGAGCTCGGCGTTCCCACTCGTGATCTGGTGCGAATGCATAACCGAGCGCCTTCAGCTAGGTGAGTCTATTAAAACTAATGTGGTAAGCATCCGATGTCGACTTTGGGGATTTATTCGCCGCTACAGCAGGATATATGGTATTGTTAATATTTTCATCAGTTTCTATCAAGTGTTTACGATAAAAAATGGATGAATTCGAATATAATTGATAATATCTACGTGTAACGAAACATTTTAATTACGCAACGAAAGACACTGAGTTGACTGAGTAACTAAAGGTGGACCCGAATAAATCGGTTGTTTTTATGCACCTCACTGCCTATACACAATTTGTCAAAATATTTTTAATCTAAATCATCTTTTCATTGTGACCACAAGTGTTTTTTGAAGCGCGTAATGTTCAAGCTCGCAATTTGAGTTGGCATCAAAGTTCATGTGTTATATTCGGCGATGAGTAAACAGGCATCTACTTATACTCTCCCTCCTAAAGAACTCTCAATATTCAAGAGAGTTGTTGTTAGTGCATATTATTTCCCTTAATCCATGTTTCACAGAAATATTATGACCAAAAGCAGTACAAAAATGGATTAAAGTATGCTAAACAAATCCTAAGCAATCCAAAATTTAGCGAACATGGAGGTAAGTTCATTCTGTCCAGTAATGTGGATGTGATCAATTTATTTTCAGAAACTTTGGCGATGAAAGGTATTTTATTAAATTGTCTTGGGAAGAAGGATGAAGCAAGGGAATATGTAAAGCGTGGTTTAAAGGCCAACATCACCAGCTTTGTTTGTAAGTTCCCGTGCTTTGGGTTATCACGATAGGTTGGCATATTTATGGTCTTATTCATAAATCTGACCATAAGTACGAAGAAGCGATAAAGTGCTACTTGCAAGCTTTAAAGTTAGATAATGAAAATTTACAAGTGCTAAGGGATCTTTCAGTTTTACAAATGCAGTTGAGAGATTATGAAGGATGCAGGGTATACTATTAATTTTCCTTCTAAGAAACTTTTGTCAGGACATACGTTACAAGTTGCTTCTACTGCGACCTAGCCAAAAAGCATCATGGATTGGCTATGCTTTAATTCACCATTTGCTGGGAAACTATGAAATCGCTCTTACAGTCATCAATGAGTTCAAAAAGGGTCAAAGTGAAATACCTCAGTTCGATTACGAACACAGTGAGCTACTACTCTACCAAGCAATGATCATGCTTGAAGCTGGAAAAGAAAATGCTGCCTTAGAACATCTAAATCAATATAGCAACGAAATAGTTGATAAAATATCTTTGTTGGAAATGAAGGGTAGGCTGCTACTTTCTGGTTATCTGTTTTCAGCTCAACTTCACTTGAAACTTGGACAGTATGAGGAAGCGGCTGAGTGTTCATGGAGCTTAATTGATCGGAATCAGGAAAATAGTTTATATCTTGAGCTTTTGGCACAGGCAAATACAGCTTTAGTCAGTGGTATAACAGACGCAAATACTGAAACGACGAAAAAAACTTATGAGTCAGTTATTTCCCGTTACCCCCAATCCCGTCTATCTAGACGGTTGATTCTGAATTATTGTTCAGGTTTGATTTGATAAATGTATACATTTTGTTGCAGGTGACGAGTTTCTCCAGCGTTTGGATGCTTACCTAAAGCCATACATCAGAAAAGGTGTTCCTCCTCTTTTTATACAACTTGTGGGGCTTTTAAATGACTCTAAAAAGCTTTCAGCTTTTGAAAGTCTTTTAACTAAATATCGTAACAGCATGAGTGCCATCGGATCCCTTGATGCACAGGAAAGTAATGAAAAAGAAGCTCCCACAACAGATGTTTGGCTTAACTATTTACTAGCTCAGTATTATAACTTCAAAAGAAAATATCAGGTACAATTCGTGATTAATATTATTTCACTTTTCAGGAAGCCATTGAAATCATAGATTCTCAGTTGCTCTCAACACCTACGTTAGTTGACTTTTATGTCCTAAAAGCCGATGTCTTTCATGATGCAGGGGACTATATAACAGCCAGTCGGTGGATGGAAGAAGCCCAATCTCTAGATACAGCTGATCGTTTTATTAATGCTCGCTGTACAAAATTCATGGTGGAAGCTCATCGCCTTGAAGATGCCACTAACATGGCTTCTAAATTTACAAGGGTAATGTTGTTATAGCTTATTTATTTGTAATATAGGGAAACACATCGCCAAAGGAATACTTGTCTGAGATGCAGTGCATGTGGTTTCTGTTAGATAATGCCAGAGCACTTAAAGAAATGGGCAGATTTGGTGATGCCCTTAAGTTGTGTCACGAAGTGCAGCAAGTAAGTGATTGGTTATGTTTTTACATAAACAATATTTTGAAAGTAATGTAGTCTATGTTTTTGTGCGAACTAGAGAAAATACTCAAAGAACTACATATGAAGTCATTTAGGTGCATTAAATTGTTCGGTAAGGTGTAGTTAACAGTTGCTGAAACTCATAGGCTAGCGTGGGTAAATGTGTTCACGGTGTAATCTAATGGGCACTTAGATTTGTATATTTAGTCATAAACCATGTATCTGGTAAAACTCGTTATCATCTAAATGGTTTAACCTCGATGGAAAAATCCCTACCTGCCTATCGAGTTGAATTAAACTAAGTTTCAGGATTCTTTACAACGCACATTTGATTTTTAATTGCACTTCCGTTTAAATGCTTTTATCACTACTGGACTTCCATAACGAAATTGGGGTGAGATTTAAACATCCCTATATGTGAATACATGTTGTGCTCAAAAATCAATGAAAATATTCCATTGTAGATAACGAACTCTTGCTATCAAGAATTCGTCAATTATTTTATTCTGATTCACGTTAAACCAAATGGTATTCTGAATTGCTCAAAATTGCGAAATTCATTAGCCGACTAGTGTATTGATAACAAATTTTCAACCGTGCGTTAACTAAAAGTAATCTCTTAAACAACCACTTCGCACTAAAGACAAATGTTTAAACCGGTTAAAGATTTGAGTTATACAAATTAAAAAATTCTATGCATATTTAAATGTGCAGTACTTGTCTCAATAGTGTGATCATTCAAGATTCCTCTGTTTACAATCATATAATGTGTCGATTTATTTAAAAATTCCCATGAATCAGACTAGAAGCACTTTCGAAGACATAATATTATAGTAGTCTATATAATAGTAATATATACCAATCCAAAAAGATACTTTTCTGTCAGACATCGATTTCCCCGTGACAATTCCGTATTATGGATTTGATGTCTGTACTTAAGTTTCAAGATGTCTCAAAGGTGTTGAAATGCTACTCTCTAGAGTTAAACTACTAGTAAAGGCAAAATCACAAAGTTCAGGTAATTCGTACGACGGTTACTAAGTGCGTATCCATAAGTAAACATAAATAAAGGTTTTTTTGGTGGCAAGATTTCAGGCGTTTTGGAAGTGGATAGATATAAGGTTTAAAGCCTAGTTTAATTTCATTTGCTAGAGACGATTAAAATATAAGCGATCGTCATCACCAAAACTTTACCCATTCAAATAAATTGCTCGAATATATAGATGAACTATAAAGCCTTGTTCACAAAATCGTCTTTTGCAGACTGTTGGAAGTCTACTAGGCTAATGATAAGTAGCCTTAATTTACACACTTTTTTATTTTGATTTTTAATCGTAGTAAATGAATCTTATCGTCATTTGCTTCAAAATATGTATGTATGTAGTGTGTGAAATCCTTAAAACTCCATGTCAATACAAAATACCTAAGAAGTCAGCACCACATCTTTCCCTATCGATGAATGCCATGGCTTTCATCTGGAATTTCTCTGTTTTTCTGCCATCATTTAATGATATATCTGACAACTGTAAGTTCAACGTATCAAAGATTGTGTTAAAAACTACTGAATTGTGCTTGCACATGTGTCTTAGAAATAATAGCACGTACTGAGTGTTTCTGTTTCATAACCAAAATAAAAAACATGGCGGTTCAGGAGTTGTGAATTAATAAATATGTTGGTGATGTTGTTTCCATAGTAGTGAATGACTGAATTGACTACTATTTCTTTATGTTTCTCTACGATTATTTAAACAAGAATTATTGTCTACTTAAGATGTAAAGTTTCAAAATTTTAGGATGTAGCTAGCCCTTTCGAAAAATTAGTATTTCATGCCATTTTTAATTTAATTTGTTGATGTATACTTATCTTGACTGACTTTTATCTATATCTATTCGATTGTTGCATATGAAATCATCAATAACTGGTAGCACTACAGAAATATTCTTGATGATCAGTTAGACTTCCATTCCTACTGTCTGCGGAAGGTTACGCTACGATCATATGTTGAGACACTGCGATTAGAAGATCGTTTACGGGATCATCAGTCTTATTTTGATACCGCTCAACTTGCAGTTGAAGTGAGTCTAAAGTGTCTGTTCTTTAAACTTTTCTGAAAGTTGTCTCACTTTCGATGTGTAGATAATACTTACAGTATCTGTTAGTTCACTACTTGTAGGTGTTTTATTTTTAGCTATTGCATATATAATTTACATGTATATATTATTCACATGTATAATTTATAAATCATCTTTAGTGTCCCGATCGAAGCTGCTACCTTGACGCGGTGGTCGGGCTTGCCTATCGTGATGACCCAACCGAGCTATATTGGCTGGAACATATGTTCCTGCAGGTTCTACCATGCCAGGCATGTCGGTTGGTGAACGGTAAGACTAAAAGCAGCAACTCAAGGTCTGAGGGCGAAGTCGTACTGCTGACTGTAGAGGGGTGTGACAGCAGTAATGTGTTTCCCTCGGACATCCAGCATGACAGCGATGCTGCCTTCCCACAAGGAGGGGTGGGGTTAGAAAAGGTCGGCCCTAAAAATGTCACACCCCACCTTACCTCACGGATTTCCGTCTACGGCGGTAAGGCCCTTTGAAGAACGGAGCTAACACGTCAAAAACCTTCCACAAAAAGGCCGTGCGCGACCGGCCTCAAGCAGTTGTCCCTTGGGCTCCGCGGTCACGCTCCCAGGTCGTCAAGACCAACACTAATCCAATTTCCTTGTCAGGTTCCTCAAGAAATACCCTTCCACGGTGTGGGCAGCCGGGAAGTGATATCAGCCCTCATACCCGTAACAGCACAAGAGACCAAGTTGGTCACATTCAAATCTTTCCTACACCTTCTAATACCTCTCTTACCTCCCCGACTAACCCTCCCCACGTCTCTTTATCACCTCGCACCGCTAGGGCAAACGATTCGAGTACGTGGAACGCCATTCCTGGTCTCCTGAAACCACGCTCTAAACTACACGTAGGAGCTTTTAACGTACGAACACTTTGCCAAATAGGACAGCAGGCTTCCTTAGCTAAAACTTTAGAATCTCGCGCCATCAATGTATGCTGCGTCTCCGAAACGCGCACACAGGATCCAAGTAGCGTCATTCATTTGACCTCACCATGCCAAAATAAAGAACCGACTCGATTTACGCTTCGTGTATCTGGAAGCCCTGATTCTGCTTCCCGTGGCCTCGCCGGCGTAGGTATAGCATTGAGTCCTAGGGCAGAACTAGCTCTCTTAGAGTGGATCCCAGTAGACAGTCGTTTGTGCGCTGTCCGACTGAACGGAACAGTAAGAATCCGGAAAGATAGGGACACTCGTCGTTGCCTCTTCGTCGTCTCTGCCTATTCTCCCACTGACTGCAGCTCAGATGATGTAAAAGATGAGTTTTACAGAAAGCTTTCGGACCTTCTCCGAAAAGCTAAGCGCTCGGATGTAGTAATAGTGGCCGGTGACTTTAATGCTCAAGTAGGTAAACTAAGCGATAAGGAAAGACACCTAGGTGGATCTTATGGTGTCGTGGCTCAAAGAACAGATAATGGCGACCGTCTGTTGCAGCTATGCTCAGATAACCGCCTGTTCCTTGCAAATACTAACTTTAAACATAAGGAAAAACATCTTTTAACATGGAGACCCCCTAATTCGTCCCAACGTTGGACCCAAATAGATCACATAGCTATCAGCCACCGATGGAGGGGCTCGATAGAAGACTGTCGCTCATTCTGGAGCACATGCCTAGATTCAGATCATGCTCTAGTGCGAGCGCGTATTTGCTTGCGTCTTACTGGACGTAGGAAAGACGCTGCAAGGAAACCTCTTAGGGGCCTACTTAATGATAGTCAAGCTAAGAGTATATTTCAGGAACAACTAGGAAAACAGTTAGGCAGCCATGTATGTGATGCCCACCCCGATGCAGCATGGAATGATATCCGAAAAGCTGTGAAAACAGCAGTGATATCTGCTAGTAAGGTATACCATAAGGTTAGGGAGCAACACTGGATCTCAGCAGCATCTATCTCACTGATAGATGCTCGGAAACTCATTCCACCTGGCTCTGAACATATTGAAGAGCGGAGTCAGCTTAAGCGCAAGTTGACAAGAAGTTTACGCAATGATCGCGAACAGTGGTGGGTAGCGAAAGCAAGAGAGATGGAAAAGGCAGCGGCAATAGGCCCCCTGAATGCCCTGGTACGGCCGAGAGTGGGGAGAGTCCGCTCTCCCTCTCGAAATACTCTCACACGGCCACGCGTATATAGCCTCTGCCAGGGAAGTCCTACTCATTGCCTTCTCGTGGCGGGGGTGTTGTTTACGAAAATGAGAGGACGAGAAGCGAATGTCCGGCGCTTTAACCGGATTCCAAACCAATGGTGCACATGGGCTCCGGTATCCTGCGGGAACGAATGGCGTATGAACCAATCGTTGGTCACCGGCTACCATGGGACTGCATCTCCTCACGATGCTCCACTGCCTTGTGGGTTAGACCTTTAGGTCAAAGGCTCGGGGAGTGGCCCCCTAAGATAACCACCTGCTTCGGTTTGGGCACCCGGGCAGTATCACAGCCCACACACAAATGATGAACTGTTTATGTCTATGGAAACTACTTTTGTCGCTTTGAAAAACAATCAATTGATTCAAATTATGATCACTTTAATTATTGTCATTATTAATACTAATATTATTATTACTACTATTATTGTCATTATTGTTATTATTATCATTATTATTATTATTTTCCACATTATTCACCTTCTTTTATACTTATACAGCGGCTCGTCTTTGGTGGAATTCCGACTGTATCTAAACGTTCTCGAGTCACTGTCCGGTTGAAAATTGTATGTTACCACCGAATACGAGGACTGAAGCAGATTTTCTGAAACCACGTGCATCATTCAAACTGGCTGCCTTCAACGTTCGCACATTTATGCAGGTCGGACAACAGATAGGGCTGGCTATGTCTTTGGAAAGTCTTAATATCGACGTGTGTTGTCTATCCGAGACCCGTATTCAAGACTCTGGCGAAGTACTACAAATTCGATCTCCATCTGTCGCTTCGAAAAGCTTGTTTTACGTGCGCTTATCCGGGGACCCTGTGGCATCTTCGTCTGGTTTTGCTGGCGTTGGTGTCGCACTAAGCGCTAGAGCTGAGGCAGCACTAGTCGATTGGATCCCCATTAACAGTCGGTTATGTGCTGTTAGATTAGAAAGTTCCATCAAAGTGAGAAGAAATCGGCGTGAGAAACGATGTCTTTTCGTCATCTCCGCCTATGCCCCGACAGATTGCAGCCCGGATGCAATCAAGGATGAGTTTTACCACCAGTTATCAGTTCTTCTCCAGAAAGTGCGTTCGACAGATATTGTAGTACTAGCCGGAGACTTGAATGCTCAGGTCGGGCGTCTAGGCACAGAAGAGAGTCGTTTAGGTGGCCGATGGGGACTCGTTGGTCGCAGGTCAGATAACGGGGACCGTCTACTGCAACTTTGCGCAGACCACAACCTGTTTCTGGCTAGCACTAACTTTCGGCACAGTCATCGCCGATGTGCCACCTGGCGTCCTCCCTCTGCATCTCAAGCCTGGACTCAGATTGATCACATCGCGATCAGCTACCGCTGGCGTGGTTGTGTACAAGACTGCCGCTCCTTTTGGAGTACCTATCTGGACTCTGACCATGCCTTGGTCTGCGCCAATCTTGCCTTACTTTTCAGTGGACAACGAAGTGAACGCCATCAACGGATTGATGTTAGCAAGCTGGTTGCAACTTCTGTTGCAAGTAAGTATCGAACCGAGCTAGCCTCTAGGCTAGCTACCACTCCACCGAAAAGTATAGATGAGCATTGGTTGCAATTGCATGACGCCATGAAAATGGCGGGAACAGTCAGTTGTGGGTTTGCGAAACGTCCCGCTTTTAAGCACTGGGTTTCTTCTGGTTCCTTACAACTCATTGAAGCCCGTCGGTCTACTCCGGGTAACCGTGAGTTTGACCATAAACGAAGGTTTTTACGTAAGGAAATCGGGCAAAGCTTGCGTAAGGACCGAGAAGCCTGGTGGTCGATGCGTGCTAATGAGCTGGAAGCAGCAGCTGCATCTGGTAACTACCGGAAGCTCTTCCAACTCATCCGAGCCACTGGCAGCAAGAAGTCTGGTGTGAGTGAAACAATCTGCGAGGATGATGGGATGCCAATCACAAACATCCATCGACGTCTTGGACGATGGGCAGAATTTTTCGAAGGGCAGTTCAACTGGCCTGCTGCTCCGGTAACATCGGTCAGACTGTCCTGCCCTCCATGGCCGGTGACGACTGATCCACCAAATGAGGAGGAAGTCCACAAGGAACTCCAACTCTTGAAGCGTTACAAATCACCTGGCCCAGATGACTTACCTCCGGCTCTTTTTAAAGATGGTGGTGACTTTTTGACTAAGGAATTGACGACGTTGTTTACAAAGGTTTGGGATCTAGAGAGTGTACCAACGTCATGGAATGAGTCGATAGTTGTCCCTATCTTTAAAAAGGGTTCACGTCGTTCTTGTAACAACTATCGGGGGATAAGTTTACTTCCGATTGCGTCCAAGCTATTGGCTTCCGTCATTCTTCGTAGGTTGTTCAAAACCCGAGAAAGATTGACTCGCGAGGAGCAGGCTGGGTTTCGTTCTGGTCGAGGATGTATTGATCATATCTTCACCCTCCGCCAAATGTTAGAACACCGCCATACTTTTCAAAGGCCAACAATCGTAGTGTTTCTTGACATCAGGGCTGCCTTCGATTCGTTGGATAGGACTGTTCTCTGGGATTGTCTATTGAAGAAGGGTGTGCCTGAGAAGTTTATTAACATCCTAAAAGCCCTGTATAAAAACACCTCAGGCAGAGTGAGGGCATACAACCACCTCTCTCCATTGTTCCATTCGAGCAGTGGGGTTAGGCAGGGTTGCCCAATCTCACCATTCCTCTTCAACTTTGCCATCGATGACATTCTGGAAACAGCTCTGATGAATGTAAGTAATGGTGGTGTGGATCTGTTGCCTGGAGAAAGACTTCTCGACCTTGAGTATGCGGACGATATTGTCTTACTGTGCGATAATGCCCAAGGCATGCAATCCGCACTTAATCAGTTGGCAATCAGTGTCCGTAGGTATGGTATGTGCTTTGCACCTTCGAAGTGCAAAGTACTTCTACAAGACTGGCAGGATCCCAATCCTGTACTCACCCTGGATGGTGAGCAGATAGACGTAGTTGAGAAGTTCGTGTATCTGGGTAGCTGCATAAGTGCTGGTGGGGGTGTGAGTGATGAGATCAATGCACGAATAGTGAAAGCCAGAGCGGCTTATGCCAATCTGGGCCACCTTTGGCGCCTTCGTGATGTCAGTCTGGCTGTAAAAGGCCGGATCTACAACGCGTCGGTGAGAGCAGTTTTGCTCTATGCTTGTGAAACCTGGCCTCTCCGAGTTGAGGACGTTAGACGACTCTCTGTGTTTGATCATCGCTGTCTCCGAAGGATTGCTGACATTCAGTGGCAACACCATGTCAGTAATGCAGAGGTTCGGCATCGTGTGTTCGGGCACAGAGATGATAACTCAATTGGTGTCACCATCTTGAAACACCGACTTCGGTGGCTTGGACATGTTCTCCGAATGTCGTCCCAGAGAATTCCACGTCGTGCATTATTTGCCGACTCTGGGACTGGTTGGAAGAAGCGGAGAGGTGGTCAGTGCATGACATGGTGTCGTGGCATGAAAGAAAGCTGCAAAGGACTGGCTTGTGTTGGTCCTTCACGACTCCCTGGCTGGGGTCCGAGAGATGGTGCAACACAGTGGCTAGAGACGTTATCAGATATGGCTCAGAATAGAAGCCAGTGGCGATCCTGCTGTAACCTTCTTTTACTTTCTTCATAAAAAGTGGTTGTGTCTCCTTTACCTGAAAGATTTCTTCTGATTGTACCTCTTCGTCATTACTCTCTTTTTCTTTTGCGTTCCTTAGTTTTTTTTTTTTTCTTTCTACTTCTCTTCGAATTCCCATTGTTTTGTGTGGCGCATATATATTGGCGCTCTCTTGTACCAATATTTATGTGTTCAAATAAATAAATAAATAAATAAATAAATAGGTAATAGCAAACAATTGTTTAGACTCGTTAAGGAGACCGGAATTGGGAACCCGACCGTTAGCGAAACAATCTCAGAGAAAGATGGACATATTATTCATTGTCAATCCAGGAGATTGGATCAATGGGCAGAACACTTTAGGGATCAGTTCAACTGGCCTTCAGCCACACTTCGGTTTCCCACGATCTCTAGTCAACCTGAATGGCAAGTTAATGTAGGTCCTCCGTCCCTTTACGAAGTTGAAAAAGCCATAGGAAATCTGAAACGAGGGAGAGCAGCAGGCCCTGACAGGTTTACTCCTGAGATTTTTAAGGATGGTGGTCCAGTATTAGCAATGAGATTAACCGAGGTCTTAGGTAGAATTTGGGAACTGGACGTAATCCCATCTGACTGGTCTCAATCACTGATTGTGCCAGTCTATAAGAAAGGACAAAAGTCCTCTTGTGACAATCACAGAGGAATCAGTTTGACTAATATAGTGTCTAAAATATTAGCTTCAATAATATTTCGACGCCTAACTAAAGCTCGTGAAGAGCAGACTAGAGAAAACCAGGCTGGTTTTCGACCTGGACGTGGTTGTATAGACCAGATATTCACACTACGTCAGGTTCTAGAACACAGACACACATTCAGACGCCCCACAATGGTATTATTTCTCGACCTTAAGGCGGCATTCGACTCTGTAGATCGTGAGGTTCTATGGCAGTGTTTGTCACTGAAAGGAGTACCAAAGAAGTACATTAACCTTATAAAGGCTCTCTACTCGAACACAACTGGTAGAGTGACAGCTTATGGTGAACTGTCATCAGAATTGATTACCTCAAGTGGTGTTCGTCAGGGCTGTCCACTCTCCCCATTCTTGTTCAACTTTGTCATTGACGTACTTTTAGAGATAACACTCTCCTCATCTAAATATACAGGGGTTGAACTTGTACCGGGAGGTTCACTTGTTGACTTAGAATATGCTGATGACATAGTTTTATTTGGTGAAGACGCTGACAAAATGCAGAGTCTTCTGACCACTCTAAGCAACAATGCAAGCATGTTCGGGATGCGATTCTCCCCCTCGAAATGCAAAATGTTGCTTCAGGATTGGGTTACATCGACACCCGAACTAGTAATAGGGAGTGAAGTAGTTGAGTGTGTCGACCGCTTCACTTATCTTGGAAGTCTCATCAACCCTTGTGGTTTAGTGTGTGACGAAATCTCAGCACGGATACAGAAGGCTCGACTAGCTTTTGCCAACTTGCGTCATTTATGGCGTAGGCGAGATATCCGTCTATCAACCAAAGGACGTGTTTACTGCGCAGCAGTTCGTTCCGTCCTACTTTATGGCAGTGAAACATGGCCGGTAAGAGTAGAGGATATCCGTAGGTTACTAGTATTTGATCATAGGTGTCTTCGAAACATTGCTCATATATCATGGGACCATCGAGTAAGTAACACAGTTGTTAGGAAACGGGTACTAGGTAAGGATGGCAAATCAATTGATGAAGTAGTGAAACTTCATCAGTTGAGATGGCTGGGACACGTGTTGCGTATGCCCAACGACCGACTGCCTCGACGTGCTATGTTCAGTGGTATAGGAGTAGGTTGGAAGAAAGCTAGGGGCGGCCAAACCAAAACATGGCACAAGTCCATGAAGTCACTGACAAGTGAACTGAGTCATGTTGGTAGGTGTAGACTACCTGGTTGGGGACCGCGAGATGATAGCAACCGATGGTTAGAGACGCTGAATGACATGGCTCAAAATCGTTTGCAATGGCGCAGGTGCATCCACTCTGTGTTCTCCCAAATTCTAATCTTCTGAATTCTTTATGTCCCTTTTTTCCTCTTTCCAAATTTCTTTCACTGGATTATACTCTTTAAATAACATCTCCAAACCCTAATCTTCCCGATTACTGCTTATACTCTTATTACCTCTACCACTATGGGATTTGAATCGACAACTGCATCTCTGTGTTAATGTGGTGTGGCAACTCGAACTGATGTACGTACGTACGAAGTTCTACGTTGTTACTGACTGACTGACATCTTTAGTGTTTTTGAATCAGTATGTCTAATATGGAGTTAAAAAGTTTTGTTTCGGAATTTCATCCAGCTAAAGTTGACTTTTGTGGCGTTTATCTGCTATTTTGCATAGCTATATTCATTTTGTTAATTCTAGTTATAATAAAATAATCTCAATACAATTGCTGCATTATTAGTCTTCAACTATGGTTTGCTCATTAACATAGTGTTATAGAGGAGGTTTTCAATGATGGATGATATTAAGTTTTCGGTCGTTTAAATCAATGAATAGAACTCTAGTCGATAGATGAACTCACTGATTTGATGTATCCAAGTGATGGCTACTCACAAGACTACATTATTGATATAAACCCTCGAATAGTTTGGAATCACAGATTACCATCAGCCCAGAAAAATAGATTAAATAACATGCTTACCTAAAGAATATAAACAAAAAATAAAAACAACATTTTATATGCGATTGAATGAAATTAGCTCATGGGTCACTCGTTCTTCAAACAATTGAGACCTGTTTGTCAGACCTATTTCTTAGGCATCATATCATATGACGTTTCAAAATAATTTTAATATTTTTATTGAATTCAGTCAGTTATACGCAACATAGAGCCTTAGGGGAATTAGGGTTGTCCCCATATCAGATCAACACCACGAGATGAATAGCAAAGAAGTTGGCCGTAGCTGTTACATTATTTTAACGGTCGGGGTTGCCTATCGTGACTACTCAATCAAGCTACATTGTCTGAAACAATTGTTCCTAGAGATTTCCTATTGCAGTGTGGTCGGTTGGATGATAATGCAACTGAAAACAGATAATCTAAAGTTCGAGGCCAGAGTTGTGCTGCTAACTATACTGTGGTGTGATTACGATATGAGGTTTTGCACAAATAACCGTCTCTAACCGTGCTACCTCATAACAAAATGAAGGGGTTATAAAAGGTCGACCCTAAAATAAGACAATGGGAGTGAGAAACGAACTAGTCAAAAAATGTCAGTCAACTAATAGTACTGAGATTTTGATCAAAAAAGTTTTCTTCGTCGTTATGAACTGTTTAGAACAATTTCTGACAAGGTTTGCAGCCAGTTATTTCTATATTGATAACATCATGCAAGAAGTTTACATCTCCATGTACGACTCTAGTTTTCAGTAGCCTTGTAAATAAATGCACTCGTACCCGGTTTCTGTCAAAGGTAATTCTCACCCAACCAATATCACATGTCAGGCAATAAAATTGTGTATAAAATATGGTTCATTTGCTCCAGAGGGTGCTGGTTCACAAATTGTTTAAAAGTGGCACCCAACTTCAAATTCACTCAGTCAGCGGCCTCTTCCCATGCACATGCACGGAGCTTTTACTCTTGCAATAACTATCTTATAGTAAAGCGATGAACGGTCGTAAAGTATGTTCTTAATTTGACAGATTTCTCTCGATCCAACTGGTTTATTTTTATTTGCTTCTAGTAAACGTTGTCTATCTCAATATCAATTCTGTTGCTTACATTATAGTTTCACTTCTATCAACTTTCGATTTCCCTTCTAGATTTACTTGCAACTGTATTCTCAACCATTGGACAGTATTGATGAATCTCCTCACGGCGAAAATGGTTAGAACTCTTGATTTTTTGTTTCGAATGTCGGTCTTTTTTACAAACGAGTTTTGTATGTTGTACTTGTTAGCAATCTTAGCTCAAGTCCTTTCAACTGTCTATAAGACACAAACATTGTACACACTTTTTAGGAGCATTTCTCGGTCAGACAAATTGATGACATGTTTCTGCAATATTCTAGTTACCAACGGTTAGAATTTCCCCACGTCAGTTCGAGTTCCATTCCTGTATCTGGTAAACACTACGTTTTGCGGTTTTCGGAGTTTGATACTAGTATATATGCTTCTTGTATACTTACCCGTACTAGCTACCTGAATAGGAAAACCAAGAGTAAATAGGAAGATTTTATTGGTCAACCAAATAGAGAATATATGCACAACTCATTCGTAAGTATAGATAAATATATCCCTCAGGAAAAACGACCACATTTTTAACCCTTAATTTGTTCATTTCCTTGGAAATTGAAGCCAGATCTTGACCAGTAGTGTACGCCAATCATCACCTCTAACTTACCATTCGGCTTTGCCAGACTGGTCAAGCGCATCAATTCTCATCTAAACATCTAATGCAGTTTATCATATAATTGTTTTTTGTACTGAAAAATTACATAGTTGATCAGGTCGACGGAAATAATCATGATCCTGACCAATGTGTCTTATTTGTAAAATATTGTCTAAAAAGTAAATTCTTTTATTTTTATGTATTGGAAGTTAAACGATACTTTATTTTTTGTCAATTTTCTTAGTATTTTACTCCATAGCTTACAAGTTGTATAAGTTTTTACTCAAACATTGGAATGACTTCAGGTTCCTTACACCTTTGATTGAAGTCTACTATCAGTAAAATTCATTGACTTGCTGGCCCAATGGTTCTCATGCATATTTTAATCTCAAAAGTAGTTAGTGTGGTGTGGGTAACTGGGTTGTTCGTTTATTCCGTTAAGGTAACTTTAAGCCAAAAATCTTACTCCAAGATCTACTCAGGTTACATTTTCATTTTAGTTGTATCCTGTAAGATTTTTGCAAACTTACCCCTCTTCTTTCTCAACGTTGTCACTTTATTTCCGGAATTGAAATTTTCGCTTGTGGGGTTCTCCAATCGTAGTGAACTGCTTGCTACATGAATATATGTAAATGATTTCCTCCCTTTTTCAGTAGTACTTATGTTTTTAGTTATCCTACTTTCTTGAGATCAGTTTCTCGTGCGAAATTCTGATGATGAGATATATCTTTTGACTATTCACGAAAAATTTGTACATAGTTTGTATCACAAGTACTCAGCTCTTCAAGACTTGTTTTCTATTATCTCATCATATAGCGAATATATTGAGCTTGTTGATCCGTTTGGGTACATCTAACTGGGGATTTTTTTTATTCCAATAAAAGAAACCAAGTGCATGGGATTTTACATTCAGTTGAAATAAACCAACCAACCCTTTATTAGTTTAGATTGTTATCTGTAAATAATATTTCAGATCAACGTTGGGATGTTTTTCACTCATTTCTCAAGTTTAAACAACAGTGTCTATAAATCTATAAAAGGTTGTTCGGTATTTAAGTAAGTTTAGTTTATTTCCTGAATGTAATTGACTTCATATAAAATTGACACGCAGTTATTTTCTTATCATTTTGTAAATGTAAAAATAGACGGTATGTCTTCATCTGAAGCTAAAAAGCTACGAAATAAACAACGGAAAGCTGCTAAGCGTGCGGAAGCGGAAGCTGCTCGGGCTCGAGCTGAACAGGAACGTCGAGAACAAGCAGCTCGTTCAAGACAGCCTGCATCCGAAGAAGCAAATGCAGATAATCCATCCATGGGAGAAAACGACCTAGATGCTAATCTACTGGCCAGAGTAAGTATTTGTCAGTTGTATTAAATGGGATTTACATTTTAGCGACAATACTCAACCTTGACTTACAGATTGCTTGCCTTATGAAATAACTCATAAATTCTGTTCCGGCATTTTTAGCTTGTAGATTGACACATTTGCTGTTTTTAATAATAGTCTTATATAAAATTGGAAACCTTAGTCTCATCCTTGACTGTAAAGTTTCTTGACTTATAATTCTGGCGTCAGATTTTACCATGCTTGTAGATACTGATGGCAGTCTCGTAAAAAAGGATATCTATATTTTAAAGTTACACATTAAAAGTAATTCCGTCGTTCTTTTGTTCATTTTTTATTTAATCTACTATTCAAATCACAAAATATTGTCTGATTAAACTGTACTATCACTTGCTAGCGTACGTGAATGGCCAATTTATGTTTCTTTCCCGTTTTTCACCAATAAACTGCCACACTTGCCTCTGTTTTTTCGCCTCATGAAATGACAGTGTGACTGATATTAACTATAATTAACTATCCCAAATACTTTAAGATTTTTAAGCAACTTGTCTTAACAGTCAACGTGAGTTCTTGTTAGTTAATGCCTTTTTCAGTTTAATAAACTCTGTATAAAAGTGGCCAATCTTAAGTCTGTTTACCATTGGATAACAATTGAAAACCAGAGGGACGCTAGAAATGTTTACCATATTTCGAGTCTTCAGTTGTCCATGCTTTCAAAGCTATGCGGAATCAAATCAAGTACATCCATACCCGATTTTGACTACGATAACATCTAGATTTTGAGTTAGGTTTCCATAGTTCATGTTTTCCGACTGCAGATGAACTGTAATTTGTCATGATCATCATTTTGTGTTATCCATGGTCACCCGTTTTCGTTTCCGAACTATTTGATGCCAGAGATTTACAGCTCCGATTTATCAGTAAGTCTTTTTCTGAAGATATAGTCACATACATAAATATGAAGCTCTTTAAAGAATTTTTGTGTATATATTATATAAGGCATCCAGCTGGCTATAAATGCACAAATTAAAAATTGGTTACATTCTCCCAAATGTAGTTTACGTCTGATTGTTCTTCATTGTTTACAAAACTATTGGTCACATTTTGACTCAAGTTCATGTAACCTAACAATTGCTAACTGTTTTTGATTTCAAATTTTTTAATGTTATTTTTTCTCCAAATAAAATAGCCTGAGGATCCACTTGAAGAGGCATCCAAATTTCTTATCCCTTTGTTGGATTTGTCTCCTAAAATTATTGAGGCTTATTGTTTGGCCTTTGAAGTTTATGAGAGAAAGCGTAAGTGAGAATTTAAATAGTCATTTTTCTGTTTAAAATTTACTAAATGCTCTACAATCTATCATTTTGACATGCTATATTATGTGGAGAATCCTACGAACATTCGCATCGAACTTATCAAAATCATGTTTAGTTGTTTAGTTATGAAATATCAAGGAGCCTAATGTTACTCTTGTATGTTACCATTAAATACTAAAATCATTTACATATCTTCAGTGTATTTTTGTTAACGTGATCATAAGGAGTGAAGTAGTTGAGTGCACTGGCCACTTCAGTTATCTTAGAAGTCTCATTAACCCCAATGCGTTGGTGTCTAAATTTCAGCACAGTTAGAAAGCTCATTTGGTCTTTATCAATTTGTATCACTTGTGGTGTAGGTGAGATCTTCGTGTATCAATAAAAGGATGAACATACTACCCAAACATCGATTTTACTCTATGAAAGGTATACATAGGCTCTGGTTTTTGATCATACATGTCTTCCAAATATTATTCGTGTGTGATGGAACAATTGAGCGAGTCTTTCGAAAGTTAGGCGCGAGATATTAGGTAAGGAATACAAGTCGGTTAATGGGGTTGTGAGTCCACCAACTGAGGCAGTTGAAACGTATTTGACCTATGCCGACGCATGATGAGGGCTGGTGTATGAGTAGGTTGTAAGAAAGCTAGAGACTGATAATCCAAAACGTGGGCTCATTCTATGAAATCATTGGCTGTTGAATTGAACCGTGTTGCTACGTTCAGACTACCTGGTTAGGACCTGCGTGGTAAGTGACCAGTGGTTGGAAACATTTGATGAAATGGATTGGATTTGGTCACACTGGCTTAGATCTATTCACTATTTATCTCAAGTTCCAGTATTTTTACATACATGCCTTTTCATGTCTTTTCGAACAATGTTCCTCATCATAGTTACTACTAGAATTATTTTAACTATTTCAGCGTTCATGTTAACTTTATTTCATCGTACTAATGTGTTATGGCATTTTTGAGATAACGCTCATCTGTGCCAATCTCTACGTTGATTATGACTAATTTATTGATAATCTATTCTTTAACAAATGAATTTCTATTCCTAATCACTTTATTTAGTTGAACTGCGGTAGCACACAGTAGCAGTATATGACCTTTAGTTTTGAAATTATGAACTTACGTTTTGTTTTCATGTTTAACAGGAAAATTTCTCCTCATGCTCAAATGGATTTCTCGTGGTGTGCAACTTACAAATTCACGTGACAATCCTTGGTTTCATGAGTGCTGTGTGAGATTTCTTCTCCAGCTACACAGTCGTGGAAAATCAGATGATATAGTTGGCAAAGTTCTTACATCAGAAGTCCCTAAGTTATTCAGCGAGTGGCCAGAAAATATTTCATTTGTTCAAGAATATAATAAAAGATTTAATCACCGTAATCAGGACACATATCCTCATGTATTCAGATGTAAGCGTTGATGTTTTTTTGAGGATTTTCGTTGTAAACTAACATTTTTTGGAAAACCGGTTATTTTGCTCTAGTTTGTATTTTTCAGCACTGGACATCCACAGCTGTGTATATAATAAACCTAAGGCCTTCAAGTTTCGCAGAGAAGTTTGATTTCATTCGATCATTAATCCGAAATTCAATAGTCAATGATTTTCTTATTTAAAAAACTGCAATAATGTTGATCTTGGTCACAGACTTATAAACATAGTGCTACATACCTGTACCGTTAGGAGGTAGTCAAAAAGTGAACAGGACCAATTTTTACCGAAGTAGTCAATGAATGTACTATTTAAGTAATTATGAAAAATTAATTGAATACAATTGAGAATGGTTTCTGAACTTAAAAAGAAATTACCAAGGCTAGTTTCATCTTATTGAACATCAGTAGTCAAACTCTTAAGTTAATAGTTGCAACTATAGCCTTTAACGCACAGGTCAAAAAAGACTAAAATGTTTTATATATCTTCACATCAATTCTTTTGTGTCGAAATGTTTAACAACTACCCAACATTTCAGTGTGCTGGTAAAAAGAAAGAAAAATCTCAGTGTATTAAACAGTCCATTTGATATCATTTATATGCTACTAAATGACCGACTCTTCAGCTGTCGATTATATATATAACATGTATGTCATATAATCGTCACGGTTAGTTGCCTGATTTTTATTCATTTTTTTTTCGAAGGGAGTTGTTCCAAGTATTTTAAACACTGTGTTTACGTTTTTTGCACTTCAATCGCATCTTGTCTCTTCACTTACTTACTTACTTACTTACGCCTGTTACTCCTCGTGAAGGAGCATAGGCCGCTCACCAGCATTCTCCATCCAACCCTGTCCTGGGCAATCCTTTCTAGCTCCGTCCAGTTGTAATTCATCGTTTTCACATCTACTTCTATTATCCGACGCAGTGTTCTTTGGCCTTCCTCTTTTTCGCTTCCCTTCAGGATTCCAAGTTAGGGCTTGCCTCGTGATGAAGTTCGACGATTTGCGTAGTGTATGTCCTATCCATTTCCATCGTGTTTTCCTAATTTCCTCTTCAGCTGGAAGTTGGTTTGTTCTCTCCCACAGAAGGCTATTGCTGATGGTATCCGGCCAATGGATGTTGAGTATCTTGCGTATACAGTTATTTATAAATACTTGTACTTTCTTGATTGTGGTTGTTGTAGTTCTCCAAGTTTCAGCTCCATACAGTAGAACTGCCTTGACGTTCGTATTGAAGATTGTGACTTTGATATTGGTTGAAAGTTGTTTTGAGTTCCATATGTTCTTCAATTGTAGGAATGCGACCCTTGCTTTGCCGATCCTCGCCTTTACGTCTGCATCGGATCCTCCTTGTTCATCGATGATGCTTCCCAGGTATGTGAAGGACTCTACATCTTCCAGAGTTTCGCCATCAAGTGTGATTGGATTGCTGTTCTCCGCTTTGAATTTGAGGACCTTAGTTTTCCCTTTGTGTATGCTGAGGCCTACTGATGCAGAGACTGCTGCTACACTAGCTGTCTTTTTCTGGATCTGTTCGTGTGTATGCGATAGGAGGGCTAGGTCATCTGCGAAGTCCAAATCGTCTAATTGATTCTGAGCTGTCCATTGTATTCCGTGTTTTCCTTCAGATGTTGAGGTCTTCATAATCCAGTCGACCACCAGAAGAAAGAGGAAGGGAGAGAGTAAACAGCCTTGTCTGACTCCGGTCCTTACTTGGAATGCATCTGTCAGCTGTCCTCCATGCACTACTTTGCACTGTAGTCCGTCGTATGAGTTCCGGATAATGTTGACAATCTTCTCAGGAACTCCGTAGTGTCGAAGAAGTTTCCATAATGTCCTCCTATCTACACTGTCGAATGCCTTTTCATAATCAATGAAGTTGATGTATAGTGATGAGTTCCACTCAACTGATTGTTCGACGATGATCCGTAGTGTTGCAATTTGGTCTGTGCACGACCGATCCTTACGGAATCCAGCTTGTTGATCTCGAAGTTGGGCGTGTACTGCATCCTTCATCCGGTTCAGCAACAATCTGTTGAAGACTTTCCCTGGTATTGACAGTAGTGTAATGCCTCTGTAGTTTTCACATTTGCTCAGATCTCCTTTCTTTGAAATCTTGTCTCTTCAACTTAGTAAAATTTTGTTTTGGAACCCATTCCTTCAAAATATTTAAAACAGTCATACTTAATACAGTGAGATATCAAGGAGTTGAATGGTACTGGTAGCGTTGTTTTGCCAAGCGTTTTTCTGTCGAGTAATACATTCTATAGAGTTTTATTCTATTCAAACACTTACAAACACATCTTGGAAATTCTTAATGTACACATGTAATAAACGAGAACACAGGTGGGGTAGTCAATTATATATGGATACAAAATTACAGAATCTCTTGGTAAAATATAAAAATCATACACTGAATACTTCATTTGCTAATTTCCATCATTTTTCCTTCACATTTTGTATCGTTCTTCCAGTTCACAATCCCTTTATATTTTCTTTTCTATTCTCTTCAACTCAATCTTAGTCTTCTGCTACCAGATTTCCCACTTCCAATTGGTGTTACATATTACTTATATCGGTCGACATAAGTAGCAGACACCACATACATGTCTTTTTATCCTTTACAACATTGGATACGTAATACGTATGACGTGATTTTATAACTAGTTTTATTTTTACTTCCTCACCTAGAACGTATTAAAATGTATCGACTGTATGGTTTCACTTTTTTGTAAATCAGGTATTTATAAATTTACTGCTCGTACCATAAAATAGCTACTGAACCATCTATTATCTCATCCCTTCACTTCACTACTGATATACTAGTTGAGTTTCCTCGGTTCGGTTTACTGAAATTTGTAGAATAACTTTATTCATATCAGCGGTTCGAGCATAGTGATAGCTACTTTTTTTGGTATAATTTTTAAAATTGCACTAACGTTCCTGCCATGCTTGCTGACTACTTAATGTATCTATAGTCACTGATCGGTCAATGTCAATTTATTTATTTATTTGAGCACATAAATACTGGTACAAGGAGGCACCGAATTCATATGTGCCACACAAGTCTCTTGATTTGTATCAACTATTGTCAACTACTCAGTTCATTGCATTTACTGGGTATTTGAAAGGACGTATTTATATTTCATGATAATTTCTTATGTTTTATTCAGTAATGTATTCAGTTAGTAAATAAATAATTTTTTATTCACTGTGTTGCTCTATCTTGAGGGAGTTTCACCAGCCATAATGCGCTGGCTTCTGAAGAAAGTTCGATTGGCTTTTGCCAACTTGAGTCACTTGTGAAGTATATACCACGCATCAGTTCGTCTCTTTCGACTTCATAGTTGTGAAATATGACCATTAAGAATAGAGGATATTCGTAGGTTACTAGCATTTGACTATAGGTATTTTCAAGGCATCGCTCGTATATTTTAGGACCACAGAGCAAGAAATGATGAGTTTATGTATATGGACACCAGATAAGAATGGTAAATCTATTCACCCCTTGTCCTACTCCAGAAACTCAGTCCTGAAATCTTATACCTTATTTTTCTATTTCGAATCTTTTCCTCTGTTAGTGATACTTTTACTACTCTGAAATTTATCTTAGATTAATCTTATCTCGCTGTGTTAATGTAGTACGGTAAATTGGGCCAATGCACATATGCGTTAGGTTCTACGTTGCGTATGACTATAACTGATTGACAATCTTGCCTTCTCTGCGATAGGCATATTGGTCTTGTTCTGTTGTAATAAGTATCAAGCAACAGGTTTACCATGATTACTAAAAATAACCATACTATCAGCATTTTTTTCAAGTTATTGTACCTAAAATATTCCAATCTTTTGAATACAAATGTTTTTCTTGAAAGCAGTTTGCTATACGATGTACATGCTCATAAGATTTTATTAACTTATCGTTTCCTTATCTTCGTTTTTTAACATGAGATGATAATAGATGAAGGCAGTAACAGGTACAGCTTTATCATCCCCGGAATGATAAATTCACAATATTTGAGTAGCCAAATAAATTAAAACCTGGATATGTTATTTGTTTTTTAAGAAAAACGATATTTTATATTTCAACCATACCGTTAGCGATTAAAGAATATTACATGTTTACGAAGTGAAGTCAGTCTTCAGAATTATGAAAAACACATACTCATTTCGCATAAATCGTTGGTCTGTTGAGCTCGTTTATGTTTTAAAAGATATGTTCATCCAGTGACTAAAATGGTAAAAAGACAGGTATCCTGTTGACAACAATACATTGTAATGTATGTTATTAAGTTCTCTCTTGATTATTTTAATATATCTTATTAGGACTGTATCACTTGGATTTATTTTTAATTTCACATGTTTCTATTTCCATTTTTCTGGCAACCATTATTATTTCTTTATTGTCTCTCTTTTATCTTCTGTTTTTGCTATTTTTATTATTTTTCCAGATACACTATGTCAATGTCTGATTGACCCACAACATAGAGATAATTATCTTAGTAAGATTCCATTACCAAATGATAACTTTAAAGGTGTTACATGGCAAGTAAGTGTTGGGTTTCGCACTTTGATTTAATCTTTTTTACTACCGGCGAGACACTATGTTTTGAATGGTGTCGTTTCATCCATGTGGATCTGTTTTGTCTTTTTATCGAACAAATATCTTGATCACTTCTATTGAAATCGCATTATCTTTTGCATCAGTTTTGTGGTTCCTATCTATTTCAAACAGCGTTTGTAGGATAAGTTTTCGTCTTGATGCATCATCCCTAAATTAGGGTGTTTTCTGTCCTTCCGACTGATATAACTACAGTGCTACTAACTCCTGAAACGATAAACTTTTTATTTCCATGCAATTTTGATGCTTATCTGTAGGACCAATAATGATATGGTGGAAAAAAGTCGGTTCTAATACATACAAAAAACTGTAGTTGATTAAACATTTGTTTCTTTCCTTACGATTCTCGACTTTTCAATGGAAGTGTCTAAAAATTGTTCGGACACTAAAAATAACTGTAAATGAACTAAGTTGTTCTCGTAATGCACCTATTAAAAATCTTCGTTACTAATTTTGATTTCAAGTGATTGACTTCGACAAAAATAAAAAAGCAAGAATGGTGAACTCACAAATTTCTTTCTCAACCACTTAATATGGCCAAAGATGGATGGTGGCTAGCAGTGGAATCCAGGAGGCGCGTTTCGTCCTACTTGAGACTCGTCAGCTGATGTACCTACATCCCAGAGTTGATGTTCACTCCAGGACGCGAGTCCTTTACAGTTCACTTCAAACGCCATCGCGTTATCCACTTAGCTACTGAATCCTGATAACCACTTGCTTTTGTAATGTGGGGAAGTTTACATTCACTTGGTATTGTTCATTTGAACCTTTCCATTGATTAAGACTGCAATTGATCAACCAATCGGCAAATTCAAACAAACAATACTAAGCCGTTTATTATAGTGCTAGGTGTTTAAGAGTGTACAAGGATGATTTCTTAAGGGACCTGAAAGGAAACTAAGTTAGTAGTGGTCCTGGTGACCTGGGAGTGTGACTTTAGAGGCCAAGAGATAACTACTCAAGGCCGGTCACCTACAGCTTTTTTATGGGGAGTTTTTGACGTGTCAGCTCCGCAATTCAAAAAGGCCATACCGTTGAAGACGGTAGTGCATAGGGTAAGGTGTGACATTTTTGTGTTCTCCCATTCTTAAAACATCATCCTTTATCAGATGGCAGTATAGCTGCAGATGCTGGCTGTCAGAAGGAAAAATTCTACTACTATCACACCCCTCTATAGTCAGCAGTACGACTTCGCCCTTGGGTTCAAATATGATACTTTTAGTTCTACTCCAACAAACAAACGACATATGGATGAGCAGTTGAAACCTAACTGTTGGATGTAAGAGGCAGACTACTCACACTGCACCACATAAGTACTAATATTACTTTAATTGTGTTGATATAAACTCTTTTAGATGATTTTTCTTTTTGTATTTAGTCCATATCTTATTTTCCATGAAAGTAATATTATACCTTTCAACCGTTTTTAATGATATTTTCTTCGTAGTAAAAGTAATGATATACGCATCCTGCTTTTTTTAGGAATGCCGCACGTGTCTAGATATTTTGCGTAGAGGTCAGTGGACGTTACTGGGTCGTTGTGACCCATCTGTCATAGAAAAGTATCGTTGTGCTTGCAATGAATATTTTCCAATGGCAAATGCATTTCTAACAACCTCACAAATAGATATATTACGTCAGAATATGATTGAAGCAGCTAATTCATCAGCTATATCTGGTGTGTTCCTTACGCCGAATGACAAGGACCAATTATCGGAACTCAACACGGATCATGGAAGTAAACTATCAAATGAATTTTCTAGACTAACTACTGAACCTATGGTTAATGGTGATCTAAAGGATACGACTAGTTGGATTCCTCAATCGTGTAAGCAAGTTACAGTAACAAATAAGGCAACTGATATCGTTGTTTAATTCTTGAAGAACCTACTGAAATCTTTGCCTATCCATTTTATCCGCTAAAATTTTGTGTATGTATTCAGAAGTTTGTGAATACTGACTCATTTGTATTTTCCATTGTCCAATAGTAAATGTACACTGTTGTAGAATAAGTTTGAAATCCTTTTTTTTCATGTGAATATTTCTTGCATGGAAACTTATTTAAATACCTTGGTTCAGTAATGTTACATATGATTATTGTATCACATGTGCATAAAACTACTTCGTGAAATGCTTTTGTAATTTCAAAAATCGTGTACAACAAACTTTACCTACTGTATATGCGCAGATTGCGTACTTCCAAATCTGTTCCAGACCCTATTTGCCAAATGACTTGTTGATAATTGTGATCATTATCATCATATTTACACTGAGTGAAGTTGGTATGAGCGTTTATTTTAACAATAAAATCTTTAGCTTTCTGATAACTTGTTTCTTTAACACAAGAGCGTATTACAATTTATTACTGTGAACAAATATTTCTGCCTTACATAATGTTGTGAATTCTTCAGCAATTTCAACATTGAGTCAGTTACGTCCGATTTTCATCTGATATCCCGATATTTAGTGTTTAAATTAAAGACATTTTATGAATCCCACTGTCATTAGTTTTGAATTCTCGTTGTTGGAGTGTTTGTTAGAATACTTCTCTTCGGGTGTTCAATGCCGTTATGATGCGAATATTAACCCACTTCATCTTTGATCCTGCCAGTGTTACGCTTCATTTCTGTCATCAATAAAGTAGCTCAACTTCAAGCTTGTTGTCATAGTGTTCCATTACCACTTCACAGCTACAGTTCAGCAACCCTATGGTTTAGTTGTGTAGGTTTGTTCTCTAATACTATCCTGTGTACGCCTTAGCCTTGCTTTCGCAAGCAGGTCATTGACCGGCTCGCTTGACTTAATTAATTGTTACGCCTGGGCGCCTTACCATATATGATCACGTTAGTCCTTTCATGTATTGTAGTTTATGTCAGCTGGTGATGAAAACCTTATAAGTTTGTAGCCCCAGATCACAACGCTAGCCCATCTCACACTATGTAAATTTAACCACTTTTCTTACAACGACCAATAATTTAACACGTGAGAGTTCATTGATTATCTCGAAACCGTAAATCAACTGTAAGTTTGCTTTCCTTATTGACCTTTTTTGTAACTAAGCGCTATTCCCTTATTAGCTGGCAATCTGTTAAAGATGGTCATTAAAATATACTTTTACGGTGAATGTCAACCGACGTATATCCCAGTCCAAGTTTTGTTCTAACTAGCGCTTGATAGCGCCAACTATTGCATGCGTCAGTGTTATTATTATTATTCACAATCAGCTTATTGGTACATAAGTGTTGTGAAGACACCGTTTCAGGCTTCTTCAGAAATGTAATTTTACACATGTCTCAATCATGTTTACATACTATTCGTCATATATAGACAGGTTCTGCAGTATTTGGAAGAATATTAAATTGATTGCAGAAAAAGGAAGGAAATAAAAGTGAAGTGTGTAAATAAGTATGATTGTGAAAAAGACCAAAAATAAACAACAGTATATGTATTATGAAAGTAATTAAATAATAAATCGTTGACGTGGCAACATTTGATGGTAGGATAAAAGTTTATTCAGTAATAGTTTCGAATGATGCAATAAAGGTCTTATTTGATTGCGAAGAATGATAGTCAAATATCAATCTGCGTGTGCCATATATACATGGTGAAGATAAAATGACACTGAAAAGTCAATTCATTTAAGTAAGTGTTAAGCAAGACTTTGTTTTTCTAGTTATAAACTCTGGATGTGTTAGACTAAAAGTTTTTCGGGATGAAAAGAGAGAAGAGAAACACTACCAAACGTGTCAGGGGATCAGTCATAATAATAATGGTAGTAAACATGGACGTAAACGGGCTTTGGATATTCACATGAAAAAAATTAAGCAAATAAATAAAATGTCGAAAGTCCTACTTCGTTTTACATTCAATTAAGTAGATGCCGGATCTTGTTTGCATAAATTATCGTAATCACACTGATATTTAATAGGTGACGCAAACCACTTTCAGAGAGAGTCATCAGTGAGACTTTTGAATTGGGTTACACTACAAAGTAGGCCCACTGAAAATCTGCTCCACATCGTTAAATAACGAGGAAATTCTGGTGTGAATTCTCGGAATCGACGGAACGCTCATATTATTGCGCTGGTTGTGGGATGACATGACAGAGTGGGAAGGAATGGATGCTGAACAGTAGGAAATACCATTTATAAACCGATCGATAAAGACAAGATTTAAATTATTGCGGCTGATTCAGAGCGGTTCTAACTTGAGATTTTTTTAAATCTTTGGTGATAGTCCTTATTGTTGAAATATTCTGAAACATCTCCGGCGAATCTTCTTTGAGCTGGAAAACTCTAGAGGTGCTTACTTATGCCTGCTCCGTACAGTAGAACTGTTCTGACGTTCGTATTGAAGATGCCCAATTTGATGTTGATAGACAGCTGCTTTGAGTTCCATATGTCCTTCAACTGTAGGAATGCTGCCCTTGATTTGCTAATCATTGCCTTTACGTCTGTATCACATTCTCCACGTCCATCGATGATTCTATCTACTTATATGAATGTTTCCACCTCATCCAGAGTTTCCCCATCAAGTGTGATTGGTCTGATGCTCTCTGTGTTGTATTTGAGGATCTTGCCTTTTCCATTGTATATGTTGAGGTCCACTGATGCGGAGACTGCTGCTACACCGTTTGTCTTGTTCTGCGTTCGTTGGTATGTATGGGATAGAAGAGCTATGTGATCAGTGGAGACCAAGTCGTCTAGTTGCATGCAAGCGGTCCTTTGAATTTCGTGCTTTCCTTCAGATGTGATCTTCATAATCCAGTCGACCACCAGAAGGAATGGGGAGGGGTGATGGGTTGTTAACCTTGTCTGACTCCGGCCCTCATTTGGAGTGCATCGGTAAGCTGTCCTCCACGCACGATTTTGCAGTGCAGTCCGTCGTATGAATTCCGGATGATATTGGTGATCTCCCCAGGCCCGCTATAGTGTCGAAGAAGATTCCATAAGGTTCTTATGTTCGCACTGTCAAGTGCTTTCTCATGTTCAAGGAAGTTGGTGAATAGTGACGAGTTCCATCCAGTTGATCGTTCAACGATGATCCGTAGTGTTGCTTTTTGGTCTTTGCACGACCGACTCCTACGGAATCCGGCCTGTTAATCTCAAAGTTGGACATCTACTGAATCTACCGTGTGGTTTAATAACACTGTTGAAAACTTTTCCCGGTACTGACAGTAGTGTGACACCTCTGTGGTTCTCACACTTGTTCAGATCTTGTTTCTATGGTATGTTGATGAGGTTTCCTTCTTTCTAGTTTGTTGGCACTTGTTCCTCTCCCCAAATCTTCCCGAGTAGAACGTGAAGCATGTTTGAAGTTGCTTCTACGTGTGACTTCAGCGCCTTACCTGATATGTTCTCAGATCCTGCTACTTTCCCGCTCTTGATTTGTCTGACGACCATCTTGATCTCCTCGATCGTGGTTCAGTGACATCTGTGGGGAGATCTGCAGGTGCTGCTTCCATGCCCGGTGGGTCAAGTGGGGCTGGTGCATTTAAGAGTTCTTCAAGGCGTTCAACCCATCTGTCCCACTGTTTTGGGATCTCAGTGATTCGCTCGCCTCTTTTATCCTTGACTAATCTGTCTGGTTTACTATATTTCCCTACTAGTTCCTTCGTTGTGTCATATAGTTGTTTCATATTTCCTTCTCTTGCATATTTATCCGCCTTCGTTGCTAGGTCTTCCACGCATTTCCGTTTGTCAGCTATAATGCTCGATCTAGTTTTGTGTAGTGTGATCCGTTGAGACTCGTGTATGCGTTTGTGTGGGAATGTTATACCGCCTATAACCATGTTGTTGATTGCACGTAAATGTAAAAATCTGTCACTAATCTTGCCCCCTTCTCCCAGTCGTCATCGTTGTTATCATGTTTGGGTGAGTAACTTTGGATAACATTCATTGTGATTCCCTCCTTTGTTTTGAAAGGTGCTTTGATGACCCTGGTTCCACGACATACCCATTCTATAGGTGCATCATGTACTCCCTTGGACAGCATCAGAGTATTTTTCTGTGTGTGCGGAGGACTTTCTTCTTCATGACCAGAATACAGTAGCACCTCTTCCGAATCTAATCTTTTGTGTTCAGTTTAGGTTCAATGGGTTTTCTACAGGATGTGTTTCAGACCTCACATTCGACCTCCCTCCTTTGTGTGGGCTTGAAGCGTCAATTGCCTTTGGATAGCTATAGGCGGATCACTAGAAACATTATTTTATGAAAATTGTTTAGAAACCACAACCAATCAAGCTGTAATCCAGTTCGATGGACACCCTACCATATATAACTAACAGAATTGCAATACCACGGAATTATTCCTCACCTCCTGGATTGATTTCAACCTAACACAATGTCTTCCACATCTAGGGAGAAGTGATCATGTGGTCCTCTTGTTCAAGTCCATTATCGCTATGCTCTTTTAAGCAGAAACACAGGCCCTTTCTAACATATGCAAAACAGAAGTGGCTGATATCAACTGTGACCATGAGTAAGGACTGAAAAATTGATTGAGATTGATCAGAGGGCGATGCATAGAGTCACTTACGGCACTTGTGCAACCACGTAACATAGCATTTTATACCCTGTACGGTCCCGAGTGAACGAAACCATCCCATATCTGGACAAATTAGATGACTCAACGCTCACTAAGACCAAAGCAAATACGCCGGAAAGTTGCCACCAGTCTCCGAACATCGAGCGAAATGAGTGTCAAAAGTCGACAATAAATGAATCCATGAACACACCTCAACGGAATTACGGAATTCAGTTAAAACAACGTGTAATTAAGTAGCCGAAACAACTGTTTTCGTATATAAGTTTGGGGAAAAAAACGCATTAATTAGTTCCCTCTTTAATTATAGAAGTGTGTCAATCACAAACGAT